CTGACGACACAAGGCGTGCGTGCGGGGCGCCGGGCGGGGCCGGGCGGGGCTCCGGGGCCGCGGGCAGAGCTGCTTCCCAGGCCCGCGCGGGCACTGGCGCTGCAGTCCTGGAATACTAAACTCAACTCGTTGATCCAAGAAATGACGCCTGTACCAATGGCTCCCCACCGCAGGGGCGCTTACTTCCCTTGTTTTCAAATGCAGCTGTGTCTGCAAGCCTCTCCCCTAGTTGCAAGGGTCTTACATTCAAGGGCAGGGTGGATCGTCAACCTTAATTGGCTGTTTAAGAGAGATGGCTATACCACTTCCACCTAGTAATGTCAGTGTTGAAGACAACTGGAACCCTGTGCAAGGGGTATCGGAAATGGCACAACTGTAAAGTCTGGCTGTTACCATGACTGGGCAATTACACTTGTGGCACATACCCAAGAGAAATGAGAGCATGCCCATCCAAAAACCTGCAAAAGTGCACAGCAGCACTACTTGCAATAGCTTAAGACCCAAATGTTCAATAAATATATTGATAAATTATACATCAAGTACAATACATGGACGAACCCTGAAAGTACTGTCATAAACCAGAGCCAGTGGGCCACATCCTGTGATGTTTCTTGAGATGTCAACAGGCCTATCTATAGCTAAGTAGTTCCTTAGGGCTGAGAGTAACAGCTAAATCATTGCCAAGGTTCCTCTCTGTGGTGATTACAATGTCCTAAAATTGATTTTAGTGATAGATTCCTAACAGTATACTAAGATCCACTGCACTGTGGTGAACTGGTGTTAAATCTCAATGAAGTGGCTGGAAAAAAATTTCAGAACTCCATGTTTTAATCCCATCGCATGCAAAAAAGCAGCAAGACTTTCAAAACAGCATGTTTCTGACTCAAATTAATGACAGAACAGAATAATCTATTTTTAAATTCTAATCAGAAAACTTGTTTTATCACTTGATATATTTAGTAATAAAGACAACCAACATTCTGCTTTTACTTTTACTTAGATTTATTTTATCCTGAATTTACTCCCGGGCCATAAGTTTTTGTTTCTTCAGTTTCTTCTGAGATATCTGGGGAAAGAAAATAAAAATGACTATTAAATTTCCTGAAAAACATCCACACTACATCTTATTGAAAGTTGGTAATAAGAGAAATCATAGGAGTTCTTAACCATTCCCCCCCCCCCCCCACCTTTCTTATTTTTACTGTATCTAGGAGAACACACTGTGGTAATCATTTCATAGTATACTTAAATCAAGCCATCATGCAGCATACCTTAAACTTTACAATGGTATGAGGCAATTCTCAAAAACATCACTGACTTGTCATCATTTACTGAATATAGGCTTATTAGATCTGAGGGGCATTTTTGGAAGTGGCAGTGGACATGTAGGTGGGACTATCAGCAGACAATCAGTTCGGATGTACCGAATGGTCCAAAGTTACTATTCAGCATCAATCAAGAAACAAATGAGATCCACGAAAGTACAAATTAAATACAAGGTTGCTGGTTGCTCAGAACAGTTTCCTTTCATGGTTATTCCAAAGGTGTCCTAAGTTAGTCATCACAGCAACCACACATCTACACACAACGGAAACTGAGCGAAGACTAAGAAATTTACCTTTTTCTTCTGTGCAACCTCCTCTTCTGGTTTAGGAACAATCTGCTCCTTTTCAGTGAGGATCATCTCAATGTGGCAGGGAGAGCTCATGTATGGGTTAATCCGCCCATGAGCTCTGTAGGTTCTACGCCGCATCTTGGGAGCTTTGTTCACCTGAATGTGCTCAATGACCAGAGAGTCTACATCTAAACCCTGGGAAGAAGGGAGAAGGAACAAGAAGGAACCAGTAAATCTTTATCTTAACACCATCTATGGAAAATTAAGTTCCTGCCTTAACAAACTTTTTTGAAAAGCAATCCTTAAGAGTTTAAGCCGAGTATCAGTTCAAGCAG